AAAAAAAAAAAAATTCAGGGTAGCTTTCTCCAGTTCTCTTATTCCATTCACTCTTCATCATATTCTAAGATGAATTATCTTTCCACTATGTCATCATAAAAATGTTATTAATTTCCTTAATGTCCAAAGTTAGTTAATCTCTATCCTATTTTCCCTTTCAGAGATGCTTTAACACTGCTGGTCATTCTACTGCACGCTCTCATCCTTATCCAGTCACATTTAAAAAGGAGGGTATGAGAAGTGAGAAGAGGACATTTTAAAATTGCCTGTGTTGAAAACTGAAAGCTGGTGTCTCCGTGTGTGCAAGATCAAATGGGAAGCTATAACCTGCAGAAACAATTTAGAAATGAGAACAGGTGCGGCCACGTAAAAACAACATAGAAAAACAGCATCTGGGGGGAAATCCAGTGAGGAAACCAGAAAGCAAAATGTGACAAAGAAAAAAGAACACACCGGGTCTTAAGGGGAACAAAACTCTGCAAACCCAAACAAGATTTTAGAGCAGTCTTGCAAACTCTTTAGCTGAGTTTTATTCTCAAATCTCAACGTATGGAATCTTTTGCTCCAGAGTGCCTAATGATGCTTCCTTTATGCTTTTCAGTCCCACCCTCTTAGATTACCTCTATCTTCTCTGCTTTTTCTTTCTCCCATGTAATCATCTTGTCTTCGTTCTATTTATCAAATGTATATTTACTAAACAATCACCACATGCCAGATATTGTGATATGCCCTGAAGGTAAATAATAAGCAAGAGATGGTCCTTGCCCTCAAGTCCTTGCCATCCAAGCAAGATGTGACCTTACTGACATCTCTCTCACTGACCACATCATGAATGTTAGTGTCTCCCAAGACTCTCCCAAAGCCTAAGCTACCTGTTCCAACGTCCTACATGTCATTTAACATATCCCCTTCCAGTCCATCTTTACTACTGCTACCAGATTACCTCTGCAAAAGGCAAATCTTATTTATTTTTACCCTTGTTAAGACTCACCATTAATCCTGTATCCATATGTTCTACCCCCGTATTTTGGGCTTTTAGATTTCCCTTACATGTTTTTTCTTCATCTTCATTTCTCAACATCCTACTGGCTAAACAGAATTGCTTAAATCTCCCAAAGATAAGAAGCTTTGGTCATATGCTATGTCTTTCTTTGTCAGAAATGCTTCAATTTCATTATTCCATCTGAGACGCACTGGCAACATATTCAGAGATTTTTTTTCCCCTGGGAGGCTGAGAACACTGTTGGCTCCTAGATTACTCCTCTCCATGTGGACACTAGAAATGTTCTGTCTGTTTAATCCCATTTTAAGCCCCTTCCTCAATGGAGATTTTGTTTCTGGTAATGTCCTCCTTTCCTCATGTTTATTACTAACCACAGGCCTCTTCCCCCAACAAGCATACTTCTCAAAGTTAGCTCAATAGTATGTGCTCTGTTAAGCCTTTCCCATCTCCTCCAGAGTTGTATGATCTTTCCACTGAGCTCTGCATTTAAAATATACATCCATGAAATACACATCCATAAAACTATACGTTTTTATATTCATTTAGACAGCTATATAATATTCATTTAGTTATCCATCTCTATCATTGGGGTGACTCTAAACGTAGAAGTGTGGATCATGCACTTTTTATTTTATATTGCCCTGTAGTCAGCACAAATGCCACCACAAGGCTTTGCTGAGAGAACGAATAGCTCACAGACTAAAGAAAAAACGTTTCTTTTCTTTCCCATTCATAGCATGAATATTAGGACAAAAGATGTATCTCCATGTATCTGAACTCATGAGAGAGTTGAGAAAATGAAGAGTAGGGAATGAAATGAGATTTAAAAAGAGGGAAAATTCAGGAGGAACTGCTGGTGTGCATAGAAAACAAAGCCAACATCCAGGCAAGTGCTGCAGAGAATCAGAAATCAAAGTAACACCTGATCTGGGCAGAGTACAGAGAAGCAAGGGATGTCAGACTCCCAGGGAAATCTTTGTGATTGGTCTCCACAAACCCAAAAAGTTTCATCTCTTTACATCGCAATAAAGACATGAATATTTGTGATTTAGTTCCCAGGGTAAGTTCTAGGGGAAAAAAAAACTTACACTTGGCCAGCAAGGTGTCCGATCAAAAAATTTCCCAAAGTATATAGGTCTGATGCGATCTGGAGATTCCACTCCTGGTTCAATGTTTCCAGCTTCCTTTTTCTCTTCAGGTTTTTGGCCAAACTGGTACTTGGGAGGTTCTATTACCAAGCCCATCTGGGGCTCTGTACTCTTAGTTTCATCTGGCTCCTCTGCTTGGGGTAGCCCAATGTCCACTTCCACAGGAGGCTCAATCTCTGTACTTGGTTTCATCACAACACAAGTAGGCTCTTTTTCTAGTCCCTGTCTTGCTTTCTTATCCAAAGAATGTTGCTTTTCCACTAATGTGTCTATCCCTTGAAGACTACTAGGCACAGAACCTCTCCTGCTCCCTACATTCTGTAGACTTCCACACACCATGCCCAAGGGAGGCTGTGTTATGCTTCCCTGGGTACATCCTGCCAGAAGACACTCATTTCCTAACCCCATTCTTCCTGGCAACATACCCAGAGAAGATTTTGTTCCCTGCAAGGCTGAGACACTGTTGACTCCTAAATTACTCCTCTCCATGTGAGTACTAGAAATGTTCTGTCTTTCTAATCCCATGTCAAGCCCCTTCCTCAATGGAGATTTTGTTTCTGGCGATGCCCTATTTTCCTCATGTTTATTACTAACCACAGGCCTCTCTCCCCATTGGCAATCTTCTTTTCCTAATCCCACCCCGAATCCCAACTCCATGGGAGATTGTTTTCCCATGAAAATCCTTCTGTTTCCTAAATCATCCTTTCGTTCGTGGGTAAGTGCGACCTCCATGCTCTCCAGGGGAGATTTCCCCCCAGACACCCTCAGTTCTCCAGGAGCACTCATCTCTAAAGGAAAAGCTGTACCTGTCTGGAGGGAAGTTTCCAATCCCCTGGGGGGTCCCAAAACTTTGGGGTACCTCCCTTTCACGAACGAACACATCCCCACTCGGACTCCTGGACCACTGTTTCCTGCCTGCCTTTTAACACCTGACGGAGTTCACAGAGGAAAGGGAGATGGAGTCTGTTTACCCGGTTACCTAGGAAACGGGGGCGGAGCTCGGTGCACAATTCCCTCCCCGCCCACCTCGCTTTCTTGTTCTCTCTCTCTCTCTCTCTCTCTCTCTCTCTCTCTCTCACTCCCCCTTTCCCTCTCTTCTCCCTCTCTCTCGTTTTCCCTCCGCGGCCCCTCTTGGCGCCCCCTCTTCGTGCCTTCCTTGGTTACATTTGAAGGGCAAGAAAATTTGAGTGATGTGGCTTCAGGCCTTACAGTAACTTCTCTCCCTCTTGTTCTTCCCAAGCAACAAAGTCCTTTTAGGATGGTTTCAACCATTGGCTTCTTCCTGGCCATGGACCAGGCTCCTAATTTTACTGGTGATAAACAAATAAATTTTCAGGTGGTGACTACTTTTTTTAGGCCCTTTTTGTCCAAGTACCTCTGCAGCACATATAAGTTACTTTAGCGCTAAAAAATTGCTTTAAATTCTGGAAAGTTATTATATTTGACAGCTATGGTATAGAAACATTGTAAAAGTCCTTGACAACAAACAGTTTCATAACTAGGCTTTAGACTGCATTTAAAGTAAATATATTAAAGTTTGAGATATGTCACACCATAGTGCATATTGCTGGGTATGACGGCACATCTGTAGTCCCAACTCCTCTGGAGTAGGGGGAAGGAGGCTGGCTTGAACCTAAGGGTTCAAAAATGTTGTGAGCTATGACTGCACCACTGCACTCCAGCCTGGACAGCAGAGCTAGATCATGTCTCAAAAAAATAAATAAAATAAAATAATAAAACAAAACAAACTAAAAAATGAAGAGAAAGAAAAGAAAAATATTGTGGCAAAGAAAAATTTTGCTTAAGTAGGAGATTCTCTTTAAATTGGGTTTATACACGTCAGATTTTTTTTTTTTTTTTTGAGACAGAGCCTCAAGCTGTCCCCCTGGGTAGAGTGTCGTGGCATCACAGCTCACAGCAACCTCCAACTCTTGGGCTCAAACGAGTCTCTTGCCTCAGCCTCCCAAGTAGCTGGGACCACAAGCGCCTGCCACATGCCCAGCTATTTTTTGGTTGCAGCCGTCATCGTTGTTTGGCGGCCCAGGCTGGATTCGAACCCGCCACCTTAGGTGTATGTGGCTGGCGCCTTAGCCATTTGAGCCACAGGCGCCGAGCCTAGCTCAAGTTTCTACAGCCTTTTTTCTCACTGCCTTGCCACCATGCCTTATGTTACCAGAGTTACGACTGGTTTGGCTCCAGATAGTCAAAGTTAATGTAACAATTATTACCATCCATGCAAAAATTCACTCTTCAACACAGGGAGAAAGATTTCCTGGATGAGTGAGAAGACTATATGGGGTGCCGTGAGTAGTGTAGAGAGGACAGGTGCTGGGAATTTATAATGGGGTGTTCGGAGATTTGAGGGTAATATAAGTACTAAGAGCAATGTTTAACTTTATGTATCTTTATGACTTTATGTATCCATTTTGTAGCTTCCTAAACAAATTCTATCAAGTAGTACCATTGCCCATTTGACCCCAGTAATTTGTAGTTATAAAAAAGAAAGTACAAGGGCTCAGCACCTGTAGCTCAGCAGCTAGGGAGCTGGCCACATACACGAGGGCTGACAGGTTCAAACCCAGCCCAGGCCTGTCAAACGACAACTAAAAAATAGCCGAGTGTTGTGGCGGGTGCCTATAGTCCCAGCCACTTGGGAGGCTGAGGCAAGAGAATTGCTTAAACCCAAGAGTTTGAG